GTATTGCATCCATTTAATCACAAATGAATTTATAATTGAATTAGTAGTTATACAATGATTTCGTTCATCTTCTTGAGTGATGCTGACGTTTTTTTTTTTTTTCCTTTTCCTTTCTCAGCCAAGGTTGTAACTGAGGTTGCAAGACACGGACTTATTAATGCTGCTGTGCTATTACACCCATCATTTGTCACTGTGGATGACATCAACAGTATGCTTTTTAAATGCTTCATTTTCTTGTTAAGTTACATATCCTGTTTTAGGGGGAGAAGTATAGTATTTTCAAAAGGAGAAAAATTATCAGAATTTTGTTGCAGCTTTTAGTTAAATGATCAGTTTAAGCATGTTGTTTAAAAGACTTTTCAATTTCATGGAGGTCTGTTCATATGATATATGCTTTGGGAGGGCAATTATTTCCCGAACAGGAGTTATTTACATGGGTTTTGTATCTAGCTCTTTTGGAATTTTTTATTAAACTTCTTTTGCCGTACTTGATCTATAATTGATCATGCAATGATTTGCATGATATTAGAATTTAGGAACTTAGTCCATTCCAATTCATCCTCATACTTCTGAGATATCAAATGGAAATTGCAAAGGATGTTCTCAAAGGAGTCATAGATATTTACATGGTGGGCAGTCAATAATTGAATTCTCTTACAGGCGTTGAAATTCCAGTTGCTATACTGGGAGCTGAGACTGACAAAATTTCTCCTCCAGAACTTGTTAAACAGTTCGAACAAATCCTATCTGCTAAGCCTGGGGTAAGATTTAACCCCATCCCCGTTTCTTAGTGATGAAGTATCATTCTTTTAATTTTCTTATTAAGGGAATTTACGTAATTTAGTTATACCTTAATAACCCTGCTGAAATCGTACAACATTTTTTTAGCTCGAAAAGGTTGTGTTCTTTTCCCACCTTGGATGGGTGGGGACGAGTTGTATTTGTTGCATATATCTGTATCTCTGAGCACATTCCGTCTTTATCATCATATGCCATTCAGACCTTTCTGAGGTAATTGATAACATGATTACATTTTAATCTTATCTTCTACACCTGAGCTATGGCTGTTCGTTCTAATTTATGTTCAATAACAGTAAATTTGTCCATAAATTTGTGTCGAAAACAAGCCCTACATTAGCATTGATACATTGTATGGCAGACTTTGATGCATAAAGGCATGCCGTTAATACTGTGATGACAATGGAATCCAGCATGTTTCATACCATGGCTTAGTCTGCACTTTCTGGAAATTCTCACTTTCATGGTAATCCGGACAAGAAGAACTTGAGCACCCTAATCACGCAATCAATTCGAATGTCTAATTTGACATCCTACTATTGGATTCAGTTTCCAGAAAACCTCAACTGATTGCTGTTTCCATCTCATTGAGTACCTACACATATGTAGGGAAATGCCAGCCTCCTATCCTTTGTTTGAAAGATCATTTTGTCCTCGTTATGTTTTGGCTGTTTTTATGTTTGTTACGATTATCCTTCTATCTTTCAGTTGAACATTCCTAGAGCAGTTGTTTGCATTTTATTGTAAAACCAGTTTGGCTATCCTTTTTCTTCTTTGTATGGCTATCTGTATTTAAGATGTCGCTGATTAACATGTTTGTTTTGTGCAGGTTCCTAGTTTTGTGAAAATATTTCCTCAAGTTGCACACGGTTGGACTGTGAGGTACAACACTGAAGATGCTAAAGCAGTGTCGGCAGCAGAAGAGGCGCATCAGGACTTGTTAACCTGGTTTGCCAAGCACCTTAAGTGAGAAATCTTGTTCTGATGGCCTTGTACCATGGTGGCATGAAAGCCATAGGAGATTGTAGATTCAATCCTGATTGTTACCTCAAGTCAATTAGATTATCAGTATTCAATCTACAAGCACGTAACTACATAGTTCGTGTAGATTGTCCTGTGATGTTGCTGCTGATTTGTTCGAGTGGCATTGTACACAGAGTCAAACTCAAAGCATAGCATGTTCATTGCAATGTATTAAAGACTGGAGATATAAATTTCAAAAATTTTATGTACATGCCATTGTAGGCTGATGCCATGTGTATTAATTGAAAAAAAACATCAACTGAAAAAAAATGCGCAATTTGCCTTAAATATGTAGGTTTGTGAGTTTATTTCTTCTTTTTTTTTTTGTCAACTTAAATATGTACTTTTTCTGTCCTTTATTATAAGATCTAATTTTTTGAATGGGTCTATTCCTTTTTATAAGATCCTCTTTGAGTTTGTCTGAGCATTTATTGCAGTATTACCTATTTTACTTCTAATTTAATGCATTTAATACATTCTCTTTTTTCATTTATCTCACTATTATTTTTTCACATTTACCCATTTATATATATGGGTATATCTAAAAAAAAATTATATTTGTTATATATTAATTGCTTTTAACTAATTTTAACTTTTTTCCTTAAATCGCGTAATTTAGTTAAAATAATCTTATAATAAGGGATGGAGGGAGTATTGTTGTTGTTTTTATTTTATGTCTTTAAATATCAATAAATGAAATGTTCTTGGGTAAAATAGGTAAGGCCTATTTAACTATTTTGATTAGATTAAAGAAGTTAGGTAAGTTAGTTAATTATAAGAAATATGACATGTTTTTTCTAAAAAATATTATCTTCCTTATATATCCTCTCTCTCTCCTACTTGATTATAGTTGAGGGAGTATCCATAGGAGTAATTTAGAAAAAATTGATAAATATGAAAAATAAGTCTTATAGGGTCAAAATTAACTTAACAATTAGGTCCTATATTAAAGACTGAATGAGTATGTTTTTTCAATTATACTCTTATTTACAAAAAAAAAATTACATGAGAGATAATGAATGAAAACTTATTACCAAGAAATAATAAGTAGCATATACTTAATGGGAGTAAAAGTGAAAATATTAGTTTAAAATTTCAGACAGAGAATTTTTTTTTTTTTTTATATTTAGACACATCACCATAAAAGACTAGTATGAAATGTTTGATGTGTCAACGACCAGCTTTATTTCATCAGGAGATTGACCGTATGAATTGTACAGTGGCATGCTATGAAATGGTTGATTTTTATATATATATATATAGGGGGCTTGATTCATTCAGAATAATTTACCATTAGATCTAGCTAAACTTGCTTTGAAGCTTTAAACTTTGAAATATTCTTGATAGTAAAGTCTTAATATGCAAGTAAGTGCAGCTAGTTTGATTCCTTTAATATTAAAACGGGTCAAATTTTGCTGTTTCTTCTTATTGATTATTATGCTTCTTTGAAATACGATTGATGATATTTGGGAATTGGCATGATTCATTCACGTTTATTAGGTGGTTTAATTGAAGCATTTTTACATATCCCCCTTATGTGGCTGTGTGCTGTTTTAATTTAGTTCTTTATCTAACCATATTCTTGAGAGGTAATGCTAGATCCCAGCTATATTATAATTCATGAAATATGTGTAAAATAGTTATTTACAGCATGTAACAATAAAAACACTTGAATTGAATTTTTTAAATAATTATATATCAATATAATTTTAGAAATAATTTTTTAAAAAAAACGTGCTTAAGTTAAATCTCAACATACAAGTACAACTAAAAGAGTTCTATATGTTCTTATTGTCAACAAGAACCTGAATATTTAATGCATATTGCGATATTAATCATCTGTTTTTCTCATCCAAAACGTGATATTTATTATTAAATAAATATGGCAGATATGGCGTAGGTTTAGTAATCAAATGGGCAATTAGAATTATTTAAATGCTTCAATGGCATATTTTTATCGCTTCAATGGTAAATTATATAATACTTGAACTAAAATTGTTTGATTGGAAAATCTTACACAAATGTTCTCTCTTAAAACTCAAAACCTGATTCTTTTCTCACTTAATTTTTTTTTTTTTGGTTTCGAAGAGGCAATCAGTGACATTTCATGCCATAATCACTCATGAAATTTGTTAAGATTATAAAAATATTGAAATATGTCAGGGCCTTGTGACCCAGTTGATTAGGAAATAGTATGATCGGTGTTGGATTATAGGGGGGAAAAATTGAAACCTTTATAATATCTTCACTTCTTAATAAAAAAGTTAGTTTGACTTTTAATTTGATTCTAAATATAAGACTATAATTTACTTTGTCTCTTATATTTATTTTTTTTAAGATAATCCTTGTAGTACTTACACATGTTAAATATTTAATCAAATAATACTTGATTGTAAGAATATTTTAGGTAAAACAATACCTATTTACTCCTCTAGTCCTTAATATAGAATCTAATTGTTGAGTTGATTTTGGTACTAAATATAAAACCTATTTATCATATTTATCAATTTTTTCTAAATTATCTCTATAAATAACCCCCCAACCATAATTAAGTAGAAGAGAGAAAAGAAATGTTAAAGAAGATGATCACAGTGTTTTAGGAAAAAACATGTCATATTTCTTATAATTAACTAACTTACCAAACTTTCTCAATCTAATCAAATAGTTAAATATGTCTTATATTAAAGATCGAAGGAGTATTATAAATAATTAACTTAATTAATTTTTTTAATCTATTCAAATTATTCAACTAGTTATATCATAAACACTTCTTAGCATTATCAATAATAATGTCTGCAATGGGTGAGGCATGAGAGGGACCCTGATCTAATTCATCCTTTAGAAAGTCCATAAACCACTACTTTGGTCTTAGACTAATTTAAATATATTAATAAAATAAGTTAAGTTAATTATTTGTAATAAATAGTTATTATTTTTTTAAATAGTTTTACTAATAAAATTATTAGTTAAAACTACTATTATTAAAAAGATTATTTAAAAAAATATAAAAAATATAAAAGATAATATAGATTAAAATTTTATATTTAAAAGTGAAATAAAAGTTATACTGAGAATTGTAGTACGTGGTATTAATTTTCGTGTCCTTATATTTTGAATAAAAGAAAAATCGCATTTTTCGGTTGTTGCATTTGGCCGTTTCTCGTTAACGTTGAACGTCACTGTTGACGCCAATCGAACTTCCGTTTGTGGTCCTTCCTCCTCACTCATCTAGAAGCAGGCTGCAGGCCCCTGAAAGTTCCGTTCATCGCCATTAAATGCCTCCAGGTCCCTCGTAAGAGAGGAAGCATCGAGCTTTCATCTTCACTGTGTGTTGTGATTACTGGAGTCAGAAGAACAATCAAGAAATGTCAGGCCCAGAGTGTTGCTCAAACCCTCCAACCCTCAACCCAGCTGCTGGAGCTGGCCATGTTCAGAAAGTTGGTGGCATAGATACTTATGTCACTGGCACCGCCGACTCCAAGCTTGCCGTTCTTCTGATTGCTGATGTTTTTGGTAATTTATTCATTTTTATCACTTCTTTCACTTCCATGAAGCATCTTTGTTTTCTTATATGCCTATAAATGATACTCTGTCAAGTTCCCATTCCCGGTTTACAGAAGGTATTTGTTCAAAAGATCTAATAAATTCCAGTTATCATGTTTCAGTTTTGATTAACCGATGCCATTTATTTCTGTGACATGGGGTTTTACTTCTGGAAGTCTATTCTGAATCTTATTATTGCATGATAAAGCATTGTTTAGAGGCCCCCGTTTTTGGATGAATGGGGCAGAAGTTTAGAATTTGTCTATTTTTTGTTCCCACATGCCTTTTGGGCCGCATGTGTATTTGTTTTTTGCTTTTCTCTGTCCAAATACATGTGCATGATAGATTTTGGTTAGAAGGTGTATTTTCACTTGAATAACTATTTTGGTTCAATTTAAGATTTTTGCATGCACACGATATGGCTTTTTATCGTGCTAAAGAATACTAAAAGTATCTTTTAGAGGCTGGGGTCTTTACTTCGACTTGATGATAGCATGTATCAGCTCTGGACGTAAATCAATATAATTTCTAACTTCGCACGTTCAACTTGTCCTGCAGGTTATGAAGCACCAAATTTGAGGTACGACTAACTTATCTGTCTGCTTTTCTTGTTTCTTATTTTAGCCGGTATACTTGTTTTCGTAGTAAATTACTTAGGTGTCCTGTTCGCATCAAACTGTATTATAGCTGGACACCATGATCTGTTAGATTTGGTACCTGAAAATTCTTTGAATGTGATTCTATTGTAATTAAAGGGATGAAAATAGTCAATAGTTTTTACTCTCTTAAGTTATTGTTTGGGTGTCACTTTGGAAGGGATTTCTATTGTAATTGAGGAAATGAAAATAGTCAATAGTCTTTTAAGTTATTCATTTTTTCCTTTTATCTACATCTTCGGTGATTGACATCCACTGCTAATAATATATGGATTTCTATCTATTAAAATTCAAATCCATGTTTTCTTGGATCCAATTGCTCATTTCTATTATGCATTCGTGAATTCATGAGGTTTAGTATGGAAGATAATCTGCATGGTGTGGTAGTTGAGCCAACTTGTCCTCTTCATGCCATTAGCTCGGCTTCTGCTTCAGGTGGCAGACAGAATTTAATTTTGTTGAAGAAATAATAAAAGGGCTATCTATCTTTTACCATGCCAAAATTAAATAGATGCACTTAGTGTAATTTAGTGATCATCGTTTTTAAAAGTGAGGATGTCTGATGTCTATGATATATGTAGGTATATAACTAGGTTATTGATTTTCTTATAGGTGATATGATTATCTAGTTTGACTATATTCTTCAGCTCTTTCTTTGATTTCTTTCTCTCTCATTGCAAATTTTTGGATGTGCTTAATGGGATATGTTCCCTTCGGAAGTAAAACCATTTGTTTTTGGTTGTGAAGGAAGCTTGCGGACAAGGTTGCTGCTGCAGGGTATTATGTAGTTGTTCCTGATTTCTTCCACGGTGATCCTTTTGTTCCTGAGAAAGCTGACAGGCCATTATCTGTTTGGATAAAAGATCATGCACCGGTTAGTGTTTATGTTTATTTTTATGATATTTGAACACTTTTTATTTTACAATATCTTGTTTTATTTAAAAAGAAAACTCTTTTTTCCCCCCCCCCCCCGGAATTTCACCTGAATGAAATCTTTTTGCATACTTACTAGAAAAATTCCTTCTCAATGTTATGGTTTGGATTTTGGGGTCAAACACTATGGATTGGAAAAGATAAATGTCTGATAATCTTGCTTCATTTGTAAGCTGTAATACATTATTCTCTGATTCTCTCATTTTGTTCTGTTAGGAGAAAGGCATTGAAGTTGCTAAACCTGTAATTGAAGCCTTAAAAATTGAAGGTGTTTCAGCAATTGGGGCTGCTGGTTTTTGCTGGGGTGGTGAGTGCCGCTCATCCCATTCTCTCCTTCCCCCCCCCCCCCAAAAAAAAAAAAAACTCATTTTGTGCATCTAGCAGTTTCAGATCTTTATAGGTGTATGTATTTCATCTATTTATCACAATTTATGAATTAGCAGCCATACAGTGGTTTTACTCAACTGTTTTGAGTGATGGTGACACGTATTTTTCTTCTCAGCCAAGGCTGTGGTTGAAGTTGCAAGACACGGACTTCTCAATGTTGCTGTGCTATTACATCCATCATTTGTCACTGTCGAGGACATCAAGAGTATGCTTTTTAACTGCTTTATTGTCTTGTTAAGTTGCATACTCTGTTTCTGGGAAAAAAATATATCATCTGCATTTCCTAAGGGAGGAAAACTATCAGAATTTTCTTGCAGCTTTTACTTGTATGATCAGTTTAAGCATGTCCCGTAAGAGTCTTTTAAATTGCATGGAGATTTGTTCATGTGATATATGCTTTGAGAGGGCAGTTATTTACATTGGTTTTGTATACAGTTCTTTTGAAATTTTGTATTAAACTTCTTTTGTTTTAATTGATGGTGCAATGATTATCATATTATTAGGATTTAGCTACTTATTCGATTCAGATTCATTCTCTAATTTCTGAGAGATCAAACAAAAATTGCAAAGGAAGGTCTTAAAGCAGTTACTGATATTTACATGATGTAGCAGTCGATAATTAAATTCTCTTACAGGTGTTGAAATTCCAATTACTATACTCGGAGCTGAGCTTGACAAAATTTCTCCTCCAGAACTTGTTAAACAGTTCGAACAAATCCTATCTGCTAAGCCTGCGGTACCATTTTTGCCCTCTCTTTGTGAAGTACTATTCTTTTGTTTCTCTATGAAGAGAATTTATGTAATTTGATTATAACTTGACAATTTGCCAACAACGTCAATTTCATGTTGATATAATGAAATCTGCTGAAATCATACAAATATTTTACAGCCAAAAATGTTTTGTACTTTTTCCATTTTGGATGTGTGATGACAGGTTGGATTTATTTGATAACTATTGAGTATATTCCATCGTTATCAGCCTATTCTGCTGGGTATCATGCTTTTCACTATTCACCCGTTTCTGGGATAATTGGTAACATGATTACATTTTCATCTTATCTTGTGCACTTGTGCTGTTGATGTTTATTCTAATTTATGTCAAACACTATTAAAGTTGTCCGTATAATTCAGTAGAAAACAATCTTTTTTTCCCCCTTGAAATTACCTTAGTATCAATTCATCGTATTTGTGTAGCAGCACAATGTCATGCATTGTTTACTGTCATGACAATAGGATTTAGTATGTTTGGTGCTATGACTCAGTCTTCATATTTTGGAAATTCTCACTTTCATGATCATGTGCGCAAGAACATGAAAACCCTAATCATGCAATCAATTCAAGTGTCTAATTTGACATCCTAATATTGGAAGAAAATGATTTCTTATCGGTTTTTGGAAAATCTTATTACCGATTGCTGTCTCCACTTCATTGATTACATACACGTTGATGGGAGGATGCTAACCTCCTATCTTTTTTGAAAGATAATGTTGCCGTTGCTATCTTTTGTCTGTTTTTAAGCTTGTTACCATTGTCATCATTCAGTTGAAAATTCCTAGGGCATTTGTTTGATTTAAATATAAAAGCAGTTTGGCTATCTTCACCGTTTTTTAATTTTTTACGGCTATCTATATTTGATATGTCCCTGATTAACATGATTGTTTTGTGCAGGTTCCTAGTTTTGTGAAAATATTTCCTCAAGTTGCGCACGGTTGGACTGTGAGGTACAACACTGAAGATGCTAAAGCAGTGTCGGCAGCCGAAGAGGCGCATCAGGACTTGTTGAACTGGTTTGCCAAGCACCTAAAGTGAGAAATCCTGTTCTGCGCAAATCTTCTATGGGTATTATATCGCACATTAGAGTAGAAGACATATATCAGTATTCAATCCACATGCATGTAACTACATAATACATGTAGATGTCCTTTGATGTTGCTGCTGATTTGTTGGAGCAGCAAGTCATGTGCATTGTGTCAGAGCATAGTACTAGTTGTCGGGAAATAAATGATGGGGTGTCACTTGGACTTGAATCCCACTGCTAGGTTGAATGGAACAATAATTCTTTCTGTAATTGGAGCTTGTGACGTTTTCATTTGAGATATCAATCTATCATATTTTAAGGTGTTGTTTTAAAAATCTAATATGCTGCTTCTGTCAATGTAACTTTTGACGTTGTGTAATTTGAATTCTCAAAGTCTTAAATTCTCCATCTTGCCTCCTCATGTTGTCTCTATTACAACGCTTCTTCCTCTTTTTCTAAAATGGTAGCCTTTTTTTGAGATTCAATCTGTAATTAATGCCTTGATAAAATAACCCACTTTGGCCTTTGATGAAATCTCATAAATCCCTTTAAAAGAACATTTTATCAACTTACACTTTAACCTTGTGTTTGCATCCATCCACAATAATCAAGGCCTTGAACTTTCTCCATTGATAGCCATAACCAGGTTTGCTGGGTCATTTCCTTAAAGTCTAATTTTTACGGTGAAGGTGGATGCCTGCTTGTCTGTCTTGATTTCCAGAAGCAGATATTCTCAAGTGGACCGGTTCTATTAAAGGAACACTAAAGTCAATTTTTGACTTGATTTATGATAGGACCCCTAACAAATGCTTCCAAAATTGATCATGTAAGGTATAGATTTACTCCCGAAAATAAAAATAAAAGCTTTTATACAATACACAGATACATAGAGCATTATAGAAAACCCACTTTGATGTTACTGCTACTGAGACAAATGACACTGATAGAAGGGGGATAATTATTTTTTTCAGATGAGGATAACAAATAGAAAAAGAGATTAATCCACACACGCTACAAACAAACTTTTAATCGTAGAGAGCGGAATCTCTAAAAACATAACGAGAGAGGAATGGCTCCCTACACCAAAGCTTGACTTGAAAAGTTTTTCTTCCTCCGCCTTCGCCCTTCCCCATTCATCTCTTTATACATACACTTCTAACTTTCCAACTTGCTTCTCTTAGCTTTTCATCATGACTACCTACTTTTGCTCCTCTACTTTTTCTGTCTCGTCCGGTTCTGAACCCTTGTATTTTCTTCTAGACCAGTTTTTCCCCGTTTTCTTCCCTCTTGACACTCCTTTATGTCTGGTTGTGAGTTTTGGCGGCAGTGTCCTATCAATTTGTTTGTTTTTTGTAAATGTCAAGCTGAGAAACTTGATAATTTTTTATCTGGAAACATTTGGGGAAGTTGAAGTAAAGCAAAGTCTGAATATTTATTTATGAAATCTGGCACGAAGCAGCATGCAAGGATAATGAATAAGGAAATGAATTTCTTCCAGGTATCCAAGGAGCAGTGTTAATGATTGCTCCGAATTCTTGGATGCAGTGTATGTCTGCATTTCTGATGGGAGTTTTCAAACCCAGATGATGCCTTTCTGGTTGAATTTGCTAGAAGATGAAATGGATTTTCTTTCTTTCTTTCTTTTTGATGGAAAGGTGAAATGTATTGGTGCTTGGTTTCACGGATTTGTTTGGCAGTTAAGATCGTCAGTTATGTGCAAGTGTTTGAACAAGTCATTATGCTGAAGGAATAAAGTTCGTTTCATTTCCTGAAATTGACCAAACAAGTGTTTTTTCTTGAAATAAATCTCAGTACAGTGAGTTCTAGAAATTTGGATTCCCAGATATATGGTGAGAAGAGTAAGCAATTTTTCCACTTTATAATATTCATTCGTTTTCTTTCCTTTTATTTAAAGGGGCCTAAGGTTACAAACAGATGGAATCTATTGACTTTTGATTTATGGAGGAACTTATATGTCACTAGGTTACAAGATGATCGGCTATAATATTAACTCTGATCTCACAAGTGCATAGTGAGACCTAAGATGTTAAACTTCAATTTTTATGTAGTTCTTTTTTTTTTTTAGCCTTGTTTTTATTCGTTTGACCGACAGTTTATAGATAGATAGCTACCAAATAAAATGATGGTGGTATGTTAGTAAAAGGGTTGATACAATTCATATATTTGGATCCATTGCAATGTCTTCTAAATAAGAAATTGCTAAAATTGGTGTTATAAAAACAACACAATTTTATTATATGTGAATTTTTTATTTTATTTATGATAGAATTATTTCCATCCAAAGGGTCCCCATTCAGTGCTCATCAGGTGATGAGCACCCAATGCTCATCACTTGATGAGCAATCTGGACCAACGGTCCAGATTTAATATTATTAAATAATTATTTTAAAATAGAAAAAATTATATTTTTAAAGAATGATAGTTAAGAGATTATTTTTATTTTTTATCCTATACCTATTAAAATAATTATTTTAAAAAAATAAAAATAAAAATAAATTTGAACCATCCAGATCAGATTTGGACGGTCTAGATCTGATGAGCACTCAATGTAAATCCATCTTGAATCCTTTTTTATTAATAAAATATTAAATTGACAATCTTTAAATACACTACCTCCGGTCCTTAATATCAGAACTAGTTGACTAATTTAAGTAGATTAAGAAAGTTCGTTAAGTTAGTTATTTGTAAAAAATGAGTGTTGTCTTTCCTAAAATATCCTTCATAATTAAGTATATTGGTTAGAATCATCATTATTACAAAGACTACCTTTGAAAAAAATAGATAAATACGAAAGACAAAGTAGATTGGGGTCTTATATTTTTTTGATACAAATTGGGGTCTTATATTTAAAGTCAAAATAAAAGTCAAATAAGTTCTTATATTAAAGACTGGAGATAGTATTTTTTTGGGCCAATATGAAAGAAATTTTTTTTCAAATAATTATTATTTTCCATGAAAAGGGCCTAAACAGAATAAAGTCCAAGATGAGAATTAGGTAAGACCCACAACTTATTCATTGGGCTCAATTAATGGAGAGCCCAAATTTCAAAACCCTAGTTAGACATGAAGGCGCTTTATAGGTATTCTTCGTTTTGCTTGTGATCAGTCTCGATTCCAAAGCGTCGACCGTATTCGCGCCGTTTCTCTGAGGATCCTCTGTTCCGAGTTGGTAAGATCCGGCTTTTACAGTTTCGAACGCTCTCCTCTGCTTTGAGGGAAATGTATGAAATTATAATTCATGATCTTGTTAATCCGCTCTCCTGGGGTTACTTGTGTTGTACGGAGAATGGGTGCATGCTGGTTGTTTGTATTGTTGTCATTACCTATCGATGCTGTATTGCATATTGTGTACTTGAATTGGGGAACCACAGTTTAAAATTTGTTCTTTAACAAGAAGTGTTAGGTGTGATTTTGTGTATACCTGACCAAGGAACACAACTGTATGAAACAAGCGATTTTTTTTAGAAATTATGGGAATGATTTGATAACACGAAGGATTTGAAGTTCGGCCATAGTTGAACAAAGCGAAGTTGGTTATTGAGGCAGCTCTTAGTATTCTGCTCGTCATTTTATTTATTTATTTATTTATTTTTTGGAGGGGGGAGCGGATTCATGAGTTAGAGGCTACCTGAGTCTGCGCTATTTTTGGGTTTTATGTTTGCAAACTTGTTATTCTTGATAATTTGAATTACTATCGAATATCTAATGTTTAGGTGTCGATTTGCTCCAAGAGCTAGTGTTACTTATGGCTATTTTTTAAGTAATGGATGGATGGACTTGTAGCTTCCATTCAAACTGGTAATGTTGATTAATGATGTGTCTCTTTCATCAAGGGAAATAAAAGAGAATGGAAGTGGTTGTATAAATATGTCTAGATTGTATCATGAAAAGCAATTTGAACCTTTAAATATGGATTTTCTTCCACTTATTGCTCACTTGTGTCTTGCATTAGTCTATTACTTTGTTTTAGAGATCGTTAACCCTTGCCAAACTTTTTAACAGTGACAATGGTGAGAGTTAGTGTCCTAAACGATGCTCTGAAGAGTATGTACAATGCTGAGAAACGGGGGAAACGTCAGGTCATGATTAGGCCATCCTCAAAAGTGATCATTAAGTTTCTTTTGGTGATGCAGAAACATGGTATGTCTCAATTTTATTTCTTAAAGCACTTCCCTTATTTTTGGAATTGATTATAAAGATTTTTTGGTGATCTCGCTCATTCTGCTACTTTCTAGGGTACATTGGAGAGTTTGAGTATGTTGATGATCACAGGGCTGGGAAAATTGTTGTTGAGTTAAACGGAAGATTAAATAAATGTGGTGTTATTAGTCCCCGTTTTGATGTGGGTGTCAAGGAGATAGAACCTTGGACTGCAAGGCTACTTCCCTCAAGACAGGTTAGCTAAGAAGCTTGCTGTGCAATTGCTTGTAATATGAAATCTATGAAATCTTCTTGTTTGTTGACTCTTATGGGGCGTTTGGATTAGCTTCTCAGCAAGACGACTCTTCTCACATACTTACCTCCTACATAGTAAAATCACTTTCAAAAAACTAATTCAAACATAATTTAATTTGTCTATAGCTGATGAATGCCTCCACTTAGCATCATCTTAGTACATTTCATTTATTTTAGATGATTTGGTAATATCGTCTAGCTCACTGAATTGTCCTGCTGTGTTTCTATGAATCTTTCTAGACAACTGTTCTTCATTTTTCTCTATAAGCATGGCTTTTATGTAAGGTTTTCCTGTTAAGTTATAGCAAAGTCTTCTGGCCTCCTGGCCTATGGTTCTTGTACTTTTAAGTCAGGATCCATATATTCTCTAGTTTTATGGCTCTTCACTTGTAAGGTTCAATGTATTTCTTGGGCTGCTATGACATGAGCTTGCTATTACTTGATAACCATGCTAACTTTACACGGTCGATTACGCATGGGTTTGTTTTTCGTCTTCAGGCCTTCCGCCCATAGGTTTTCAGGAAGCATCTTTCCCCCTTTCTCACAGCATTGGAAGTAGTGCCAATCATTTGAAATGGAAAAAAGTAATATATATTGTGTTCATACGGTTTCCCTGTTGGCCCTAATCTTTGATCATACTAATGCAGTTTGGCTATATTGTCTTGACGACCTCTGCTGGTATTATGGATCACGAAGAGGCTAGGAGAAAGAATGTTGGTGGTAAAGTGTTGGGTTTCTTTTACTAGGCATGTTTTTTGTTTTAGGAGAGCGACTCCAGTTTTGAGACTCCTGCCCACTGTAATGACGAAGTGGTAATCTCCTAGTGCTATCAAGTTTAGCTGAGTTGTTTCCTGATGAGCTTTTGTTTGTCTCGCAATTACAATTTCGTCCTTATGATTAATCAGACATATGTACTTTCGTTCCTATAATGCCAAAATATGATGACATCCCTTTGCCCCTTTTCTTCAACCCTCCTTCTCGGGAGGGGATTGTTTTGGGCTTCATATGAATGTTGTATCTTTCTCGTAGTTGCACCTCAATTATTCTTCCATTTTTGTGAGAAAGGATGATTTTATTGTTCCAAGCATATTCGGTATCTATTATACAAGATTTTGTAGTTCTAGCTGACCATTCTAGTGCTTTGACCAAGTTTAATAGATAGTTTAAATAACGCGTGCTTTGATATGACGTTGACACCAGTGTCATCCATAACCTTTGATGGAACATAGTTTTCACTAATTTTGGCCGTTTTGGCTGATATAAGTGGTTTACCTGTGTTGACGCGTGGTTCATTGGCAGCGGGCAGAAAAGTTGTACGATCTGACAATCAGTGTGGGAAATGATTTGAAACCAGCTTGACTTTTTCGGGCGATTATTTGTGGCTGTGTGTTCGTATATGAAAATATTTAAGTAGATTGTATTTTAACGAGATTTTTGTCCATATCAGTCAATATCACGTCAACAGTCGAGTAATCTAGCGGCAAGAAAACTCGCAGGTTTGATCCTGAAGCCTATTAATACTGGACCCTCTAAGTAAAAAGAAGGTTTATTTTATTTTGGCCAAAAAAAAAAAAAGAAAGATTATCAGAGTTGTATTATTCATTGATTATGAATTGTGCGACATATTTCAGGATGTGTGTCCATAGCAAAGGTGCATAAAAATAGAGAATTTGTAATTTCAGAAGGATGTGCGGTGCCCCTTACATCCACGAAATTTCAAAAATAGAGTTTCTTCACAAAAATGAAAGAAGGAAAAAAAGTACGAAACGAATAAATAAATGAATAATACATGGAAGGCATGGATTGACTTGCCTGTCTGGTGATGGTTGTTATGTAGGATTATGGTTTTATGGTGACCACTCACTGGTCAGTCACAGCTCAAGTTGCTAAGAAAATGGTCCCTCCTAAATCCAAACCCATGTCTCAAACATTAAAGCTCCTTTATTTTCCTTTCTTTTTCTTTCATTTTGATCTCAATAATGTTGTTGTGTGTCTTTGCTGGGAGCCAAAATCACCAATGAAACAAACAGATGAGGCTGTGCACTAAAGTTGAGAATTTTGATATCTCCTGCAATTTGGGAAGTAAAAGAAAAAATATTTTAGTAGAGTTTCTTTTAGTCTTCTTTTAATAGTGGAAGGGGGCATGTGGGAGACGGTTGTTAAGGACTTTGAAGCATTGTGGGTGTCATTATCCCCACCAGACAGAAAAATTAATTGCCTGGTTCCACTTTCCACAACTTTATCTTCTTGTTTAGTTAATTTAAATTGAAGTCTTACTCTTTGAAAATTATTCTCTGTTTCAACTAATTTGAACCCAGTATGTCTCTTCTTTCCTGTCTTTTTTACTTTTCCTATTTGATAACCTTCTCTCTCATTTTCACACAACAAATCAATTCCATTTCTCAAAACTATAGCAAAATGGTGAAAAGTTCTTGTTTAGGAAGTTTTATTGGTTAGAAAGACCTAATATGTTTTTATACATAAAAAATATTGGTATTTTATATGATTTCATACATATAAAGTATTTGACTTTGTACTGGAATTCAGGTTCATTTGACCAATAAAATTTTTAAATAAAGACTTTTCATCTATTTTCTCTAGAATTTTAAAAAAATTTCTTTCATGTAAGCTCCATTTGGTCTCAAATTATTGCCTGTTCCCTGGACAGCAGAAAAACATATAACTTTTCAAAGAACTTCAACTGTGCGTTGGTATAATCAATTTCATATCTGTTTCAAAAGTATTTTCTTCTTTATATCTAGAAAAAAAAAGTATTGTGACCAACTTCTGCTTAAATAAAAAAACAGGAGAAATTTCCAATGCAGAAAAAACCAGAGATTATTTTTAATTAAATAAATATTATTATTCTGCGACAAAGTATGTGGCTGAAAAAGATGATATTGGATTGGAGATTCCTTTTATTTAATTAATAACCAATTAACTAATACCACCGTTTCCCAGCTAGAGAACTCTTCAGCCCATGTGACGCACATGCTCTTGTGGCATTAATTAATGGTGAGAATTTCTTTTAATAATTTTTATTCAAAGAGATAAACAATCCCATGTGTTTAGAAGAAAATAAAATTGTCATTCTTAAAAAGAAAACGAATTTTCATTTTCTATGAACTTCATGGATAGTTTAATTATGATGCTGCTAAATCCAGAAGTATGACTTATTACTGGTCATTATGGTAATTAAATTGATAAAAATTACAATAATTAGTAGAGTGATAACATATTTGAGTTTTAAATTATAAAATTTTTATTAGCGCCGATATCATGAAAGAGAAAAGATCTTAAAATTGTCTAAAATGAAAAAAATAAAAATAAAAAGTGAAAAAGAGTGATAAATAAAAATAGGGAATTTAATAATAAATAAAACTGAAACATTATTTGAAAAGCATGTAGTTGTCATATTCTTGCATCAGAACAAAAAAAAATAAAAATGTAATAAAATATTAAACACTGATAACCCCTTTTCCTTTCTCTGCTTCCAAACATAATATCGTTATTTTAAAATCACAATTTTTCGAATTAATGATCATTTTCATTCGCACCCTGTCACGTTTCGGAGTTCTACGCCACAAAGCCTTCAACTTGAAGTACAAGGCCTCTGTGGGAAGCTGATTTTTACTTGGAAATATTTCCGTTGAAATCTGCATAGTCCTCTTCTTCGATTCCTACCTTCTTCACACACAACAAAAGAATCTTATTATGCTCTGAAAGCCGGAGCATTTCCCTTTTCCGTCTGCATATATTATATTCACTTCCTTTTGCCGCTTTTGAGATTATCGCCATAGCAGATCCTCCCAAGATTAGTTTTTTCCGCTTATGCTAGCTCGGTAACATACCAGAGCGCATTTTCTTACGTGATCTGTAACCTGGAAGTTACCAGCTGCATTTTGTTACTTCCGCCAGCTTGTCTTGATTATGTTGTGTTTGATAAAGTCTCCCCCTTTTTTGATTTAAATATAGAACTATCAGAGCATTTGATCCTTAATTTGAACCCTTTGTCTTTTCTTTTATGACCCCTTACTTTCAATCCTAGATGCTACTGTAGCTGCCAGCTGAACCGCGTCTCTTTCCGTTTTGAGCTTTGTTCTTTGTTCTTTTATGTCGAAGGTTTCTAACTTTTTATTTGGTTTTAAACTTGCACTTTGATCACCGCGTGCCTAAGCGTCATAATACCAGTTAATCGTTTTTCCTTTTGAAGTTTTCGCTTTTCTGGGTTTTGAACTTGGTCGTAGGAGTTGGGGGATCTAGATTTGAGTTGAGAGAAGGGGCTGTTTGATGCACCTATTGGCCTAAATCATTGACGGGTTTTATGCCAAGTTGCCTAGATGCTGCCTGATCAAAGAAAAAAGGTAAAGCTTCTCTTCTGATATATGTGTAGCTATAAATTATCTGTGGTAATTCACTTTGGGGGAGAAATTAGATGCTTATTGAGACAATGAATGGTCGTTGTTTTGTTGTTTTCTGCATCTCTGTGACTGCACACAACTTGTACCCACTGGTCACATAGTTGTGATCTTATTTATTCTGTGTCATTTGTTATGAAGTTGCCCTATTCCTCTTACCTTTTTTCTTTCGGGTATTGTGCTTGAACGCATATTTGATCTATGTCTTGTTTGGGATGAATGATTTATCAGGCAAATGTCTATGCTTCACCGCGGTGCTAACTTGTCTAGTTCTGGTTTGTATGAGACCAGCTGAGCATTTCGCATCATTTAGGACATTTTTTCTCCTCTTGCAGATCCTGTTGGATCTACTGGCCATTGCAATCGATTTTTATTGGCTTTCTTCTTTTGCACTCATGTTATATGCTTCAAATTCCCATTATCCTTTTTAAGTTTAACAATATTGAAGCAAGTTTCGCTATAGGATTTTGTTCCTGAAGAAAAGAAAATCTCTTTACTATTAGAGATGATAAGCTCATATATGTTCTTGGCGATTAATTAGACCATCTCTTGACCAAAGAAAGAAAAAACAGAGAGAGGGTAAACCATCCGGTGATGCTCAATACTCCAAAACTTGGGGGCATATTTCAGTATTATTTTTTCACCAATGGATGCAGAACTTGGACGAATAGCTTGTTCTTTTCTGGTTTAATATATGTACACCATCTTTCCCCTCAATGCAGAAATGCATGTTTCAAATAATTTAGGCCACGTGCATTGATTTGACTTTAATTACTTTCTGCTGAATTGTTTATTAACTGTGTTTATGCAGTCATCTGTGGATGTGAACTTCTTCACAGAATATGGTGAAGGGAGCAGATACAGAATAGAAGAAGTAATTGGTAAAGGAAGCTATGGTGTAGTTTGCTCCGCGTCAGATACACACACTGGAGAAAAGGTTGCAATAAAGAAAATTAATGACATATTTGAACATGTCTCTGATGCTACTCGTATTCTTCGTGAGATTAAGCTTCTTAGACTCTTGCGTCACCCTGATATTGTGGAGATCAAACATATCTTGTTACCACCTTCCAGGAGAGAATTTAAAGATATATATGTCGTGTTTGAACTCATGGAATCCGATTTACATCAGGTCATCAAAGCAAATGATGATCTGACTCCAGAGCACTATCAGTTCTTTCTTTATCAGCTTCTTCGAGGCTTGAAGTACATACACACAGGTTATAATCTTTATATAATCAGAATCTTTTTCATGGATAGCTTGCTCTAGCAATCTTTACTTCTATTAACCATTTAGGTTTTGATTATAACAAACTAGTTGCTGATTTTAATTTGGGATGATACTGAACTTCTGAATGGTCCCAGCAAATGTTTTTCACCGTGACCTAAAACCAAAAAACATCTTAGCAAATGCTGACTGCAAACTCAAGATCTGTGACTTTGGTCTTGCCAGAGTAGCATTTAATGACACACCCACTGCCATATTCTGGACGGTAAGAATCTCTTTTTCCTGAGACTATAGAGCCTTGAACATGCAGTGTTGTCGTTTTTCATCATGCTTATTTCCGTTTGACTACTCACAGGATTATGTTGCAACAAGGTGGTATAGGGCTCCCGAGCTGTGTGGATCCTTTTTCTCCAAGGTGCTCTGGTGCAATATCTGTTACATATTTATTTTGGACCCTTGATTTCTTTATTCAATCCCACTCCTGCTTGGACTTTGAAATTACGAGCAGGTCCCTTTCCCTTCCCCCTTAATCCTGTTTCTTTCCTTCAATTACACATGCTAGGGACCTCTTGAACTCTTATATATTTTTTAAATAATTGTGTGCTTGGGGAAATCTACTATTCTCTATGAATCTTCTACTAAAATTACTAAAGAAATATTTGTTAACAAATTGTCTAGCTCTCTTCTCTTTTTGGAATGCTGATAAGAACCTGTGACATTATCTTGACCGTGATTTCTAAGTGTCTATTCTCAATATATGGACTTACCCCCTTGTGAAAGCTTTAATGGCAACTTGGGTGGCCTCTGGTTGGGTAAACTGTACCTTTTAACTATTTTTATCTATCTTGAATCCGTGGAAGGTCTGACCATGTATTAGGGTGAGACAGCCTATCTCTTTATGCACTATATGTACATAATTATTTAATTTTTAGTCATTTAATCAAGATGGTATATATGATTTTTTTTTCTTTCTTTTAATATGAATTTTCCATGTTTTTTCAGTACACACCAGCTATAGATATATGGAGCATTGGCTGCATTTTTGCAGAACTTTTAACTGGAAAACCTCTTTTCCCGGGGAAGAATGTTGTCCATCAGTTGGACCTCATGACTGAACTTCTTGGAACGCCATCTCCTGATGCCATTGCTAGGGTCTGTAAATCATTCACCCATCTTTTTAGCATATTTTTTAAAGTTTTCTTACCACCAGTACCATATATGCAATTGCATGTGGAAGTTAAAATTTTGATTTTGGAAAAAATGTCACACAAATAAAACTGACAATACTTCCAATAATAAACACTAATTTTATTAACATATATAATAGCATGTTATGTGTATGGGATTTAAATTTGAATGCACAAAATTATGAGAGAGAAAAAAACAGGAGAGGCCCATGAGACCCAGATAACGGGTGAACAGTGATTCTGTTTTAGTATAATATATTGATATAGACTTTCAGCAACCCTGTTATTATATGCATACAGATACGAAACGAGAAAGCTCGGAGATATTTGAGCAGCATGCGAAAGAAGAAGCCAGTTCCTTTCTCCCAAAAGTTTCCTAATGCAGATCCGCTTGCTCTTCGTTTGTTGGAAAGAATGCTGGCATTTGACCCTAAGGACCGGCCTACTGCTGAAGAGGTTGAATTGTCATGCATCTTCAGTTCACTTTCTTTGTTATGTCTTGGTCTAACAGGGCATATTGTTTTTTCGAAAATTGCTAGGCTTTGGCAGATCCATATTTTAAAGGTTTGGCCAAGGTTGAAAGAGAGCCTTCAGCACAGCCAGTTAGCAAGATGGAATTTGAATTCGAGAGACGCAGGATAACAAAGGAGGACATACGAGAGCTCATATATCGAGAAATTCTGGAATACCATCCGAAGATGTTGAAGGAGCACCTAGAGGGAGCAGAGCCAACCAGTTTTATGTATCCTAGGTACTTTTCTTTTGGCTGTCGCATTTTGCATTCCTTAAATTTATCATACAACACAGGAATTTCTTTCATATAGTATTTGTACCCAGAAGTTAAAAAAATTTGGAGGCCTTTGTGTTGCAACTCAATATATTTGAAAGAACTCTTTTGGGCTTTTATTTATTATCTCCTGCATTCTTTAATGGCTTTGTCTGTTATTTTGGTTGTTATTGGATGACTTCCGGTTTTCTGCTTTATCTTTTTCTGGTGCTTAAGATGAGCATTTATTAAGAAAAGAAAAGCATTTTCATTGCTAACCAGAAGCCATGTGGTACTTGATTGGCAGTTTTAATTCTCCATCGGTGCTCACCTTGAAGTTGAAATATTGCGTTAGAGTCTATCTAGAATTATCCATTTCTTTTTAATGCTTTCTGGGAATGTAAAATTTTTATTTTGAATTTTTATTTTGAATTGCTTTGGTGAACCTTTGATTCTTAAGCATCTGTAATATATAGTGCTCTATTTTGTCCGGTTTGTCACACTATTTGATGTAGCTTATCAGCCTTTCATTTTGTGCCCCTCTTTTCTTCTGGTAACTAACTCCTCCTCTTTTAAATAGTGCCGTCGACCACTTCAAGAAGCAATTTGCTTATCTAGAGGAGCATTATGGGAAGGGTGGAACTGTTATTGCGCCTGAGAGGCAGCATGCATCATTGCCCAGGTATCCTTTTAATTACCGTTATTGTTTTTGGGTAATGCAGCTTTCTTCTTGGTCACTGGCCTTTGTCTTGTCAACATGCCCATGTATCTGCTCGGAATTGCTGACTTCTGATTTGAGATTGCATGTGCAGGCCATGTGTATTATATTCAGATAACTCAGCACAAAGTCCAGCCGAGGTTGCAGAAGATCTCTCTAAATGTTGCATCAAAGAAATTGAGAAGCCACCCGTGGAGAGGACTGGTGGCATCCCTTTGGCTCGGCTTCCTGCGCAGGTTCCACAAAATATGCAAGGTATGACACCTTACTCGAGTATAGAATTTTCTCCTCCTCTCTCGATTCCTCCTTACCTCTTCCCATCCCTCTCCTTAATATATTGTAAGACAAAATGTTTGTTTACGGGTTGTGCTGTCATGTGACATGAAGGTCACGGATTCAAATTCTAGAAACAGTCTTTTTGTTTGTGGGGTAAAGCTGTGTACACCGATTTTTCAAACCCCACTTGGTGGGAGCCTTGGGCACTGGCGTCCCTTTTTTCATTAGAACGTTTGTTTACATGCTTGAATATGAGATGGTACTTACTGCTCACTTGCTTTAGGTGCAAGGCCTGGAAAGTAGTTGGTTCAGTATTGCGTTACAACTGTGGGGTAGCAGCAACAGCAGACGTTTTTGAACAGCGGCAGATGGTTAGAAATCCACCTGTTTCAGCCCAATATGCTGCTTCAAGCTGTTCATATCCCAGAAGAAACCCAGCCTGTAAAAATGAGAGGACAGAAGATGATGGAATAGAAGGTTCCAATGGTTTGCAACCAAAGCCTCAATATATGCCTAGAAAAGTTGCTGCCGCTCAAGGTGGAGCTTCAAGTCATTGGTATTGAACTATTGTTTTACATACCAAAACTTGGGTAACATCTGCCACTGAGCCTTACAGATCTTGCATCTGGGTTTGTTTCCGCCTAACCTCAGGACGATAATCTGAATCTTAACTGGTGGCATACCTTCATCTGGAAAGACTCAAGGTAAAAACTTGAAAATGAAGTTGAAGAAGCCTCTGGCTGAAGTTTAGTTACATCTTTGTAATTTTCTGTCACTCTGATTCATTTATAGCATGAAACAGGAAAGACTAGTAGCAACAAAATAGTTCTGATCTCTGCATTCCACAATAGCAGCTGTCTACTTTTGTCCTAATTTATTTTGGGCCATCACACTGATAAGTGTATTTTTCTCACCCCCTACCTGCCTGTATTGTATTCTAAATAATCATCTCGTCCTCTTTCAACTGTATTTTGAATCCAGAACTATCTTTGGTGGTACCGAGACCAAAACTTGACCTGTGGAAGATTAATTCTAGGTTGTTTCACTTGAATACTTGCTTTTACTTTTTCATTATTCTGATACCTTCAATCTTCAATTGTTCTTTCGTAAAATGTTATTGTCGCCATGTGATTAACGGGTACTTGGGAATCAGTTAAGAAAATAAGTCAGAGGTTCTCTACTAATATACTTTTTTGGCCTTACTTTATTAGTATAAATAGGGACATACAGAAATGTAACGTGTCTAATTTGCATAATATTACTGTATACTTCCTCTGGTTCTAACTACAAGGATTAGTTAAAAAGTTTGTATTGATTCTAGAGACAAGGCTTTAGTTGATTTTGTCTCATGAATTTATAATTATTTTCCTAAGCAATCCTATTTATCACACATACTATAGGGGATTATTCTAAGGAGAAAAGTTTCTAATACAAAAACATATATTCATTATAAATAACTAATGTGAATAGATTTTTTTTTTTAATCTCTGTAATTAGTTTTTATACTTGGAACACGAAAAGATAGCATTATTCTAATGAATTTTTGAGAAGGGGAATATTCTAATATGGAATTGGTTATTTAATAAGAGAAATGTCGCTATCCCGTTGAATACTTGAATACTACTTCTCACAATAACAAGTAGCCATTATCTTCCAATTAAGTTAAACTAATCATTAAAAACTAAGAATGATTGTGAATTATAAGTTTATAACTGAGCCAGTTGTGTACGTACAGTAGTAAGTCCAGGTTTTATAGTAATAGATTATATTATATTGTTAAGTAATACGCTTCTTAAGGTGTGAGCTTCAGACTTGTGTCACCGTTATAGCCAAAAAATTCGATCCTCTGCTTGCTTTTCTTGCACCGACTATTTCTATCTCTACCCCATGTTTCGTAAGCTCTTCTGTGCTGCGGCCCAATCCAATCTTCACCATCGTCACTTTCTTCCAATTTCCCACTCAAACTTTCAGAAAGCCTTCATTCCCGCCGATCTCATTCCTAATTTGGTCACTGAATCTTGCTTCGTCGCGAGATCTCAGAATATCAGACCCTTCCCGCGATTATCTTCTTCCTATTCCCGAATGAGTGATTCCCGGCGGCCGTTCTCGGTTCCCATTACTGCCGTCAACGAGGCCAATAAGTCTGAGCTACTTCGTGCTCTCGAAACATCGCTGGTTCGTCGTTCAGCTCAGAGCCTCTGATCCCAAATCCAAAGCCATTGATAATAGTAATTAGCGGGCCAAGTGGTGTTGGAAAGGACGCAGTGATCAAGAAACTTAGGGAAACTCGGGAGGGTCTTCATTTTGTGGTCACTGCAACGAGTCGAGCGAAACGACCGGGTGAAGTTGATGGAAAAGATTATTTCTTTGTGAGTAAAGAGGAATTTGAATCCATGGTTAAGAGGGACGAGCTTCTGGAGTACGCGCTTGTGTATGGAGATTATAAAGGCATTCCAAAACAGCAAATTCGGGAATACATGGGTAAAGGGTATGATATTGTTTTGAGGGTGGATATTCAAGGGGCTCAAACATTGAGAAAAATTCTTGGTAATTCGGCAGTTTTCATTTTCCTTGTGGCTGAGAGTGAAATGGCAATGGTGGAAAGACTGGTTGATAGAAAGACTGAAACTTTAGAGTCGCTGCTTGTGAGGATTGCTACGGCTAGGGAGGAAGTGAAGCATCTTAAGAATTTTGATTATGTGGTTGTGAATGCTAAAGGGAAGCTTGAAAATGCAGTAACATTAGTGAGTTCCATTATTGATGCTGAGAAAGCGAAGGTCTGTCAAAGAGTGCTGTGGTATAGGTCATTGGCGGTTATGATTGAGGTTTTTTAAGGGGCGCCATAGATTGTTAACTGCTTTTTCAGATACTTAATCAATTGTTGTCATTGCGTTCGCAGCAAATAAGAGCTGACTATTTAATTTTTCAGTTTCTGTGAATCTCTTAATTTGTACTTACTTTGATGAGTTAATGTAGTTTCAATTTTTGTGGGTATAAGCAATTTCGGGAATACAAGGTCTTGCACAAAGATTGTCTAGTGCTTTGGCAAGCACATAGTGAAGTGAATTGGCAAATCTAGCACGGATGAGTTGGTGAGATGTGTTTTGACAAAGTAGTATCTGGGCTTTGATTTACAAAAGGATTCGCACTCAGTTTAAGCTATTACAACAATGGCCTTAGCTAAGACGTTAAAAATATTGGATCCTTTGCAATTAGGCAGTCATGTATTACAAGGGAGCAACAGGAAATAATATATCCAAGTATCTGTTTCTTTTCTCCCCTTTATAACCATAATTTT